TTAATTTTTCCACGGTGATCTAGCTTCAATTGACTCATGACCTCAACCACTGAAATTACTATAATATCCACAAAACCCTTTTGATATTTTCTTTTTGTTCGGAAAAAGTGATTAGTAAGAAGTTAGACCAATAGAACTAGGTTTTTCATTGAGTCTATAATTAATAGACGAGCCAACGATATTTAAAATAACAAGTCTTGGATGTAGGCACGTTATTCATTTGTAGCATTTCGGCATTCAAGTTGATCTCATTTCATAATGAATCCCAATTACTCATACTAATTTGACCCTAGTATGTAGGGAAGTCATCTCAAGGTCACTTCAACATCGCTCAAAGGTCGTCTGTCATTTATAGTCTCATAGGTATTTTTTAGTAGGTTGGTACAGTATTCATCCATCACCAAGGCGTTTCAACAATCTCAAAGAAATCGATGCCTTGATTATAGGATCCAACTAAGTGTTAGTCATAAAATTCGTTACCAAATTATTATTCAGGCTTAAATCGATCTTTTTAAATTCCAAATGTGGCTGAACTCCTGATGAGTGATAAGTAAAATAAATCATTGACTCAAGCTTTCATCATCAACTGTTCAATCAATATACCCTATTGTGACCATATTGATAAGTTATCGACAAAATGCTATCAACGTTAAAATAAAGACAACTTTGTTGTCCCTTCATTTTCATACCATTCACTCCCTGTTCCCGTTCTCTCCAATTCGATCTTTTCAACCTGTTGCTGGCAGGCATTCCATTTTCGATTGGCTTTACATACTACTTATATTTGTCAACATAAGTAGCACGCACCACACTACTACTCAGATACATATATTCATTTTGTTTGACAAAGCAAAGTAAAGTTTGAAATTCATTATTCTCAATATAAGTATGTGACCCGTGCAATTTACATGAATATTCATCATTATTGGAACAAACAGTTTGACAGAAATAGAACCTGTTCAGTAGGACAGGATTTTGCTGATGTTCTATTGTTCTCTAAGCTGAATGTTGGTTTTAACACACGAACAAACTACACAGTTCGCGGAATGTAAAACTCAAAAAAAGAAGATGAAAGAAATCATCATGAACTACACTCTCGTTCTCTTTCTCTCTGATATCAGAGTGTTTGGCGAAACCGGCAAATATTGGCAAACAATTAAATTCAATTGATGGGTTTTTCAGAAAAGAAACTCGTATTGTTTTTTGTCACTGTTTGTTACTATCCAATACAAACAATGCAGAACCTGTCAAGTATATATATCTGAACCGGTTCACATTAACAGAGAGAGAGAGAGAACTATTAAGACAAATACCATAATAGTCGAATTAGTAACATTATCAGTGGAACTAGAAAATACTAAGCGCAATTATTATGATTCGAGAAGGAAGAACGAATTTCCAGAATAAAAAGTACAGGTATTTGATGATAAAGAGTGAATGTAAATGCGCCATTGTGACCAATTCTGAGTCATATCATTCAAAGCCTTAACCATTTGGCCATGATAATTGAGCAGATTCGAACCACGTAGTTTAAACCGACATACACGACTCAGCTCAATAGTCAACAACTTCATGGAATGATGTTACGCGTTATTTTGGGTACCAATTGCTGTCTTATAACCTAATCCTACACCAGTGAACATCACCCATCGAAGTAGGAGATGGTTGGGCATACGTAACACATGCCGTATCAGTTGATGAAAATCAACAAACCCATCATCTCATTTACCATCTTTATTTAGCACTACGTATGTGTGACCTCAACATTGCTCACTTGATGTTCCAAACATACAGGTGTATGGCTTTAAAGGCACCCATTGGTTAAAAATCAATAACCTGAGAATATTCGCTATTTTTGAAGGCCATATTTTATAGCCATAAAGTAGAACAGGACAAATATACTAATGTGTCGTCCTTCGGTTAATTGACAGACAAATTGCCTATGCTTGCAGTGACAAAATGTAGCAAAAGCTTAGCAAGCTTTCTGAATCTGTGCTGTGACGTTGTCAGATACTTAAATGTTTATTCACAACTAGGATTTTAAAAATTTTTTCATTGTCTTCCTGTGTGTTTGGAGAATTATCGTTTCAATCATGTTAATCAAATGGATGAATGTAGTCGATCAAATAATCAATATTTAACACATTAGTATTTCAGTCAAATCTCTCTCTCTCTCTATGTATATCAACCTACTTTGTCCACTATTCCCCTCCCCTCCAAAAAAAACACACTATCACTGTCTAATGGATGAAATGTTATTGTTTTCCGTCATTTCTTCTATTAAAATAAGAAACAACTTGTGTTATGATTGAAAATTTAACTGTATTCTATTGTTCTCAGTTGGTATTCCCCTCTCTCCCGACAAGTCAGGAGTAGTTGAGGTACATGAGGTACATCTGTTTATCATCTATATAATCTCATATACAAATGACGTAATAAACAATGTCTTTACTATTTTGAAACATGGTAAAAACAAGAGAAAACATAAACAATCTATCCCTCCCCCCCACACTACTCCTAACAGCAAGAAAAACTATGCAAACAAACAAACAAGTAAATAAAAGAGAGATAGAAAAAGAAGGCCTGGTGTGCAAATAAAAAAATTTAAATACACACACACACATACACAAATAATTTCATTCTTTGCCTTAGTGATTTTACTGGATATAATTAAGGTACATTTTGATTTTTTTTTTAAAACCATGTTGATGGTAATATGTCACTCATTCAAGAACTTATTCTATCAACTTCTCATTTCGATTATCAGATTGTCATAATCTCATGCTTGTGTTAATTCTCATTACTGTCGATTAGTTTTATTATTAAATGTAAGAGCAGTTTATGTATTTACTGAGTCGTCAGTTCATTTTTCTTTACTCTTTTCTCTTCCAGATTCTTTTATACACTGCTTCTTACATTCTCCTCCCCCCCTCCAGAACACAAGGTACCTTCAAGTTAGATGCAAGCCTACTAAAGACTGAACGTTATAAATAATAATCTTGGTGATGATTATAACGATGATCAGATATTTTGTGGAGATAGGATACGGTAGAGGGAATATATAATACTGAGGGGAAATGAAAAATTCCTCTTCTCGTGAAAATCAGTTTATTCTCTCCTTCACTCTAGCTTGCTCTTACACTTACTCTGTATACGTGTGTGTATGTCTTTACCATAAAGGAAACTTAAACACTGACTTAAAAACACTATTTATTATTATTATTATTAATGGCTTTATTCAATATTATATTTTGGTACAACATAGAATTCTCAGCATCATCGTCATCCCCGTCGTTATGGAGTTGTAAAAATTGTTGAATGTTGTTGAGATTACGAACTGATCTAAATTAGAAAACTACTGAAAATCATAAGGTACTGGATAAGAGACAAGAACAGCTCAAATCAAAGCATATTATATCATAAACCTATAAAATTACATTATCTATCCATTTCCATTGGTACTACTTCTCCGTATATGACATAATCATCTCCGAATTCAATGAGACTTTTTTTTTAAATTAATTAATCCCTATTTCAAATAAGTACCATTTAAGAGATTTAATTCGGAGTTGGGTTGATGTTATCCATCATTTTATCTGCGTTAATGTAATTTATTTTATTTAGCATTTTGGAACTTTTTTTCGTTCACTCAGTACGTGAGTGGTGCATGCTAGAATGCAGTTCTCACTAAAGGTTTCATTTCAAGGGTCTCGAGTTATCCTCAACTATGTGCTATGAACAAGTCAATGTAACAGAGCCCAACATCTAGGATGAAAAACGTGAATTGATTGAAAGTTAGTGCTTTACAATAAATCTCTAGTAATAAGTAACGCTCATTGACTAAATGAACGGAATAACAACTGAAAAGGCTGGATATAACACATTACTCGAACATGCAAAATGTGACAGATAACATCAACCGAAAAGTTGTTATCACAATAATAATAATAAAGGTTATAATCTGAAAACTAACCTTCGCAGTTATTTAACATAAATAAGAGAAGCTCCTTCTCTAGAAATATGTCCCTTGAGATAGGTGGTATCTCAGTCGTAAAACCTTAGTTACCTATCTAGACAACAAACAACCACTTACTAAAGTCAAAAGTGGGTTATAAATTCATGTGAAAAATTGAGATTGAGAGTTAAAGCTACATGTATTGTTAAAGATTGAAATAAGGGTTTTCACCATTTATTGACATTAGGTATAATGTCTAGGCTAGATTCCTTGTGAAGGAGTCGTAAACACACAGTCCCGAGAAGTTCTATATTAAGAAGAAAACGTTTTATTGTGCTTTCAACTGTTCAATGGTTGTCTAATCTAGATCAGTTCATGATTTCAATGTCAAACAAAACAAGCTGGTTAGTCAATTGTAGTAGAAAAATTCTAATTGTTCACTTATCCTTGAAACGCTTGCTGATAAGGTTGTCTAGAAAGACAAGATTAAACATCCGGAAGCTCAAATACTATAACATACTTCTGAAATTCCTTATCTTAAGCTACAACTAAATTACCACAGCATATGAAGGTAAACCCCATTATCCAGTGTGGGGATTTGTGGAGATTGTATTGTTTTCACAGTTGAATTCACAAGCCGATCTAAGCTAGACCTTCATTTAAAACCTGGAGGCACTGGACGGCCGTTTCATCCTAGTACCTGACTTCTCAGTGGTCAGCATCCACGATCCCGATGACGGCCCAGTGGTTTAGAGGTTAGGCGTTCGCTCTAGACCAAAGGTTCTGGTCTGAGTCCCACGTGTGAGGTCGCGGGTGTGAATTGATGAGGAGTTCCATGCTGGGACGAAACTACCGTCCAGTGCTTCCAGGTTTTCAATGGTGATCTAGCTTAGATCGCCTCATGAATTCAACCGTGAAAACCCTATTATTTTAAGACTATTATCAAACGATATCACAATAATAATGATATCAGTAAAATAAGTATACAGCGGAAATGAACTAACAAAAACAATCTGATCGAAGGTATACATGAATAGATACATACTTGTGGACTTATCGGAATTTTCAATAGTTCTACCTTGTTTTTCCAATTCTATAATAGATGATTCCTGATTAACAGATGATTTCATTTGATGTTCTCTAGCTCTTGTTCTAGCACCAATACTATTACTACTATTATTATTACTATTAGATGACTTCCCTACTACTGACATAGTAGTGGTGATCGCAGCCATGGGCAACGAAGTCACCGTTGTTACTGCCGTTGATGTTAAAGTTATTGCTGGAAGCGGTGGTGGTGTTGGTGTTGTTGTTATCATCAATTCGTCTTGTCTAGTTGCATCGAACCAACGTTGTTTAACAGCTTTATCAAACAATGATGATGTGAGGCTTGTATGCGAAGTGGTAGTAGTGACAGCGACAGCTGTAGGAGCGGCGGGAGGTGGAGGCGGAGGAGCAGGAACAATGGGAGTTGTGGTATTCGAGTCGAAAAATACACCGTTTGCTGAGGCGGGATTAGAAGCAGCTACAGCCGCTGCAGCGGCGGCGGCGGCTGCTGCTGCTGCCGCGGCAGCAGTTGTATCAAATTCTTTAGGATCAAAATTTGTGGTATTGCCGCCACCGACACCAATACTATTGCTACTATTATTATTCGCAGCAGCAGTTGATCTTGGAAGCCATGACATTGACGCAGGGTTAGATAAACCGGAAGCTGCTGCCGCCGCAGCTGCAACCGCCATAGCCGCGGCAGCTGCGTTCGCTGATGTCGATTGATGCGGAAGTTGAGTATCAGTTGCAGTTTGAAATTGACCAGTTAGGACAGGATGATGAGTTGACATACTGGTGATGATTTGATTTTGCAAACTTGAAACACTTGACAATAATGCTGCCGCTGCACTAGCTATTAAAGCTGGATGACATGAAGTCGGTGGTGTAGATGGTGAGGGAATAGTTAATTTATCCACTATATTATTGTTGGATGATGAACAATCATTTGGATTATTTGGAAATACGGGTAGAGCAGGTGGCAAATTACAATTATTAATATTATTAGTAGTAGTATTATTACTACCATTATTATTACTGGGAATTTGATTTACCAATGTATTTGAATTATAATTTGTATCTAATGTTGAATGATGATTCGATGTAGACCAACGTGATGTTAATGAATGTACTGCACTACGTCTATGATGTAATGGTAAATCACGTAGCACAGACATTGCAGTGCAATCAGGTATAATTAATTGATCTGTACACCATGATTCTGAAGTAGTTGTTGTATTACTATAAACTGGACTACAATGCATTGGATTATCAGTACGATAGATTGAATTAATATTTTGTACTTGGGATTCGTATACGGAATCTGAAAACAAACATACATATATATATACATGATACCAATTATTTAAGTGTAGTTTATCATGTTAAAAAAGCAAACAACAAGGCTTACATATTTGGTAGGAATAATGCAATTAATGAAAAATGTTAAAGGTGTATAGGAAGTTTTCTCACTTCTTGATTACATATATACCGTAGGAGGATATTTCCTCTTGAAGTATATGAAATATGAACAATCTAGATTACAGTCAGTCTTGATTATCCGAAAGCATGACTCAGTGTTCAAGGAACAATAGCTTGAATCTGATTATATGGATAACATGGCTCAGAATTGGTCACAATAGCGTTGATTCATCCACTTTCTTTCTTCACTTAGATCATGAGTTCTAAAGATATCCTATATTGTTTTATTTCACAAATTCATTCATTTTCCTCAAATTATACTATGTCTGATCATTTCTAATACAAATAATACTGGTGGTCTAACATTGATCGGTTCATGATCTCAATTAAAACTCAACAATCTCCACAACCCTATACTGATAAATAATACTGTCGTTATATGTCCATAACTCTAGCATCACTCAATGGTGATATGGTGTAACAACTTGAACCTGAGATAATGCCGTGAGTAATATGAAAGTATAACATTTGAGACTATCATATGAAGGATTATTGATATTGTTATATCATAAATATTAGATTTTTAGACTATTATATTTTTATATTAGTCTGATTCTAAGGTTTCGTTTGACCCATGAATAGTTATCATATGTATCGTCAGTTCAGATTTATCATCAACAATTATGTTCCTATTACTCTAGTTTGTATTACTTATGAGTAAATTATGTACACATTACAATTTTCGAATATTGTTACAAGAGTTTTGAGTCATGATTGTATAAAGTACAATTAAGGATTAATCTATGTTCACCTTCTGATTGAGCATCTTATATGATGCATGCGTATCAACGATACATAAGCTTACGCTGATGCACATCATAACATACACATGGGTATGAGCACTCTTAGAGGGATTGATGGTTGTCTCTCCATATTTTTCATAGAGCAAATTGTCTTTTCTCTTTTTTGCACTTATAAGGTGTATATATGTCCGAGGTACGAAGACTTACGTCCATACACATCTTGAAATAAACAGCCAAAAGCGTTCTTAAAAGAGGGCTGATGGTCACTACTCTTCTCGACTGTACTTGCTGCACCTCTATTTTTAGCTTGAGCGGATTTTGTTTCATAGGTTAGGTCTGTTTTGTCATATGGCAGACTGTCTACTCGGTCTCACTCGGGTCAAGCCCAGCGCGTTCATAATCTACATAAACAAATTACGCGAGCCGAGACTCATCTAATTCATATTTATATTCATGCACAAACTGTATCCCTATACGATTTTGGTGCCTTAAATTGTGGGTTTCTGAGTAAACCAGTTACGGAAGTGTGGTGGATTAGTCTGATCTCCGCCCAACTTAGATACTGAGATTTCCCCCACGACGCAGCAGTTCCACGAGGAGGTCTTAAGTCGTATTTCACTGGATTGTACTACTTTCTGATAGGCTATTACCACTTTTCGTCTGGTAATTTCTTTGTGCCGAGAGTTGTTCCATTATAACTTCTGAAATGCTGTGTCCTTTTTGGGTACCATCGTTGGAGATTGTTGTCGAAGAGTTGCTTGTGAGTGAATTCCCCTCGAATTGAAATAATCTTGACCGTTCGTAATTAACGATCACTGTAGACTCAACTGAACAGAACACAAGTTACAATAGTATTCACCACAAACTAATTTCAAAAGACGTACCATTGAAAACCAAGGAGCGCTGAATAGCCATTTTGTCTCAGTTTAGGACTCCCAAGTAGTGCTAACGAAACACCTACTCGGATAGTCAACAGCTTTCTCAATGCAACCTACAGTAAGTTCATCCAATTAGGAATACTGTTATATCTTAGTGAAGATATATATATATATATATCTTGTACAAATATTATTTCCTGTTATATGGTGTGATGTCCGTTTTGACTTGTATATTAACCAGGTATGTTTGAAATAAACAATTCGTATAGTGGAAGCTGGTATTGGTATTCTGGACTCAACTGGCAGGGCTAGGAGGAAAAGGAACCAATAAGGACGCTAGGCTGCTCATACCGGTCGATACGTCATTGGTTTGTCACAGTGCTAAGATTGTGTAAGTCGTATTCCCATTGGCAAATAAGTCACGTGATGAATAACCGAACATCAAGCCACAATAAATACAACCTACGAATCAAACTAATCTCTACAAAATCTCCTTCACTTAAATTAGAAACCGATTTAAGTCACATGACCATTGAAAACCTGGAAGCACTGGAAGGCCGTTTCGTCCTAGTATGGGTTTCCTCAGAAGTGTGAATTTACAAACCCGCATGCAAGAACAGAACCCTAAACCTTCGGTCACATGCTCGAACACTTAACCTCTTGACAACTGAAATCGACATCCAATGGTGTTAATGTCTAACTTCAATCAATTCACGATACTTTACGACCATCTTATATCGTCTTCGGTGGGTAACTGCCTCACTCCAAACATGATAAGTCTCCTCTGGTCACAACTTCTTACTATAACTCCAAGAATCCCCTTTAAAAGCTAGTGACTATTGATCACATGATAATTGACAATATAACATTGTGGAGATTGGTGACTTTCATTGAAATCAATGAAACTTAACATTTTCCACAGTACTATATTGACAAATCCCTTTAAGTTCAATCTATTACTATCTACTATACAATCGACTGAAAAACTAAATCCAAAGAAATAACTAACTTGATTCTAATTCTGTCTTATCCGGCAATTCCAATGTTCCATTTGCCAGGGAATTAACGGTAGAATCTAAATGTCCATTTGTATTCCATTTAAAGGAACCAACTTGATTAATTGTTTGATTATTATTATTAGTATTGCTATTACATCCAGGAAAACAATTTAATGAACAATTTCCAAATGATGCAGGAACTGAATTACATAATGATGATGATGATAATGATGAATTAGTTGACCATTCAAAACTTGTACCACCACAACGCGCTCTACTGATTAGATGTCGTACCATTGCATTTAAACGTTGTGATTCTTTACGAACCTAAATCATATCAATAATAATAATAATAGATCGTAAATGGAAAAAAACTAAATGAAATCAATGCATGGACGAAAATTTAAGACCTTTCATTACTCCATATATTAACAGTAATTATGCAATTATTAGTGACTAATTTCGAGAGGTAAATCCCGAAGTTCTGTTGAGATGCAATTAGTGGAATTTAATCAATAGTGTCGATTTTTATATCAATTCCCCACTGTCAGCCACAATCCAATATAAACAAAAACTCTGACTAAATAGCCATCCGCTGAGGATGCACATATGCGCGAACGAGACTCATCGATTGTAGTCGTAAACACCAACAACGGTAAAATACAAGCCCTTAAGAACACATAAAGTTCAATACTATTTGGATAAGTCAATCCTTTTTGTTAGACTAGAATGGTCAAACGTCTATATATAGAGAGCGTCAGTTAACCATTCAGTCAGTCCGTCAGTTGACCGCTACGTTGAACCAGGTATGTATATACATCAGTTCAAGTTCCTACACTCTATTAGCATATAGACCGGATTTTTAGGCCAAATCCTAGAGTACCAGAGGTAGTAACAGCATCAGTGGTAGTAGAAAAGATCAAACATAAAAAATACGGATAAAAAAATAGATTGGTGAAGCGAAAAAAGTATCACGGACTCAAAACTTTACAATATAGGAGAATATGAAGATTCAATGAACTTCCGTCATCTCAAACGATTCTGAATTATGTCATTCAAAGTCTCCAATCATTGGTTACGATAATCACGCTAATCCCAACCACATAGTCTACACCTAGCTACATGACTTAGTCTAATTGTCAGTGATTTCATAACCTGGTGTCATGTTTTGGTTTGGCTGCCCCTAGTTTTCTTTCAGTCTACTCCTACACCACACAACATTCGCCGTCGAGGTGGATAGTGGTTAAGAAAACGTAACACACATCTCAACCACCCCACTTTGTGAAGATTTACTACCTCGTCAGTCGATTTGCCATCTTTACCTTACTTTCTCGGTGGTCCCAAAATACATGAGTGATACTTCCAAGACATCAACAACCAAATACTGATAACTTATAAATATCACCTATTCTGAATACTCATATTTCATACCCATGAAGTCAAATGAAGCAAGCTACTACTCAGTAAACAGGTCATTTAGTTGACAGACGGATATCTTCAGTCAGTCGGTTGGTCGATCGACCATAACCAATATAAAATCCCCCAAGTAATTGACAATAATTGATTCCAACTGTTAAAATAATCATAAATTTTATATCTAGTTAAATTTTTCGAAGGCTCTCAACATTCTTACTGGTTTCATCGCTAGTTAAACTTCAACTTTAATCAGCTTATTTTCAGAATGGGGGGTTGTGAAGATTGTAGTAAACTAATAGTTGAATTCATGAGTTGGTTTAAGCTAGACCACCTTAGAATATCTGGAAGCACTGGACGGTTATTTCGTCCTAGTATGGAACTCCTCAGTATTGCGCACCCACGATCCCATATATAGGACCCGAACCCATACTGGAGCGAAACGACCGTCCAGCGCTTCCAGGTTTTCCATGGTGGTTTAGCTTAAATCGACCCATGAATTCAACCATTTTATTTGTTTATTACTTTGTTGAAAATAATTGGACACATACACAGGAAAGTTTCATCATATATAACAATAATTCTTATATGGATGAAAGAAAAGACACTTACTGTTCTCAAGTACAATTCTAACCTTGATGCACATACTTCAACTTGAGCAAGGGCTTGTAATGATAATTGATGTGTTTTATTCAAGTGTCTATAATAATAAAAATAATAATAATAATGAGAGATGGGAAAACACATGCGTTTGAACTGGGAAAAAATATAGGAAAAAGGAAGAGAGATAGATAAGCGAAACTATCTAGTGTTATATTAATTGTATGGTTGATAGATTTTCTATTCTTCACACTTTTATGTTTATGGAATAGATGTAATATGGCCAGTAGTAAAATCCAGGAAACGTAATTCTTCAAGTTTCAGACTCATCAGATTGATGTACCCGCACATTACAGTTTTGATATTTATTACATTGCGGTTAGTGCCTAATACCTTTCACTCCAAAAGCTCAAAGTGTTATCCCCAAATTAATAAGTCTAGATAACCGTTAAATTATTCAACGAATATGATATTTATACCACTATTAGTCTTAATTAAAAATATATCAATACTAGGACGCAAGTACATTCAACTGACAAGTTGGAAATAGTATGAGATGCCCATCTACTGTATTCCACTGTTTTCCCTAATTTATTTATTCTGTAAAACATTCGACAGAATCCCTATATCAAAGCAATCTGTACTAGATTCACATATATCAACAAAGACTGATCGTAAATTCGGTTCTGAATATCAACAACGGGATAATTCAAACTCTTACCAATAATGACATAAACCATATGTATATATATACTTATGCTGGCAGATATAAGTAGTATGTGGCAGCAATCGGAATTAAAATGCCTGTCAATAGAAGACTGAATTGAAGAGAACGAGAAGGGAAACAGTGAAAAATTGTAATAACAATAGAATTGAAAGAATTATGGAGCATATAAAGGACGACTGAAGGTAGATGTGAAAATGATATATTCAATGTATAGTTTACATGTATATAAGTAACTAACTGTAAGCTAGTTAGTGTCAGTCAGTAGCTCCAACCATTACAGACATAGAGAAAAAAATAAAGAATTCTAAGTACATTAAAAGTTACTGAGATGGCAAATACGGGGTATAATTTTCTTCTCTATCAATATTTTAAGACAGAAAAAATGATAGTCGAATGAATACACTGGAATTTAAACATTTTATATATAATGGATAAGTCAGTCAGTTAGTCGCAACGTAGAACCTCGTACCTGTGAAGCGCGGAGTAGTAGACGTAGTAACTGAAAAGATAAGACATAGAAGATATGATTTCAAACAAAAAAATTATCACGGATTCAAAACTTTACAATCTAAGATAAGATGAAGATTCAATGAACTTCCATCATCACAAACGATTCTGAATCATGTCATCCACAGTCTCCAATCATTGGTTACGATAATCATGCCAATCACAACCACGTAGTCTACACCTATCTACATGGCTTAGTTTAACTCTCAGTGATGTCATAAGCTGATGTCATGCTTTGGTTTGGCATTGCTGCAGATGCTGGTTGTCTGAGGAAAACACCTGACTGTTGTCAACCTCCTCCCACAGTCATCAGTAAAACCTCACTCTCGGACATTAAGTTAGTACTTTTAGTCTTACCATTATCCAACCGACATCCCTGACATGGCAGAACCTAAAAGAACATGTTTTCCACCCAATATAGCTTGACTGAGTCATCACAATAGACAAGCCTGACCACCACATCAAATCAGCAGCTACAGTCAGAATATATGGTGGGTAGATAGAAATTGTTATATCAATTTAACCAGCGATTCCGTCTGGAGTCTTTAGAGTGAAAAATACCTTGCAGAAATAACTCCAATCAGTCAAATCGGTGGACGATCTTCGCAATTGAAGATGAGTAAACGGCAGCTGCTGATTGTTACGAATATAAAATATGCCTTTTGAAAAATCTCATCTCGAATTTATTTTTGAAATAAATATTGCGATGTCGTACAATCTATGCCGAAAATTCCTTACTGTATCAAAAATTGCAGTACTAAACTAAGCTGGTGTTTTTATTATTACTGTCACTACTTAGCAAAGGTTTCCCCTCGTGAATATATATATATATATATATATATATATATATATATATAATTTCATCTCACTGTATTAATGTGATATGATAACTTGAACCGATGAACACGTATATCAGGTTCTAATTGTTTATGACCAACTGATCAAATGAATATCGAGACAACACTCTCAAGCTGCACATATATACACAATAGAGATTGAGCAATTGCAAACCCTAACATCAACAACGTTAAAACACAAGCCCTTACAAATAAAATTTATACCTGTTGCATAAGTTAATGAATATTTAGAATCAACAGCTAAGTGCATAGCACGCTGAACATTTAAAGTGATAGGTATTGTGTTCCAGAATTAGTGTGAACATCAACACTGAGATACAAGTTTATACAGTTGACGAGTCCCAGATAGAACGAAACGCCCCTCCTATTTTCTGTTACTATTCACGAATCCAACTTTAATGAATATTATAAATATGCTTTCTTAATTCTGATGTTCCAACATTAATTCTTGGGTGGTTTTGTTAATTAATTAAACTGTCCAAACTTATTTGTTCTAATTCTAGACACACAAACAATTGATTAATCATGTTTTAAACTATAAAAATCATTCAGTTTGCTTCTTATTCCCCCTCCCCCTATTGTTTACATTGTTTCCCTTTATTAACTCCAGATTTGTGTGAGTATGTGCATTTATCCCTGTATATGTAGTCTATCTCAAAATTGTAACAAACTGAGAGAAACCAAACGCTAAATATGTTTCAATTTTGTACACCATTTACACTTTCTATCCTTTTTCTTCCATAAGAATATAAATGGATGTCTATAAAGCGGACCAACTACAAACAAACAAACAATAAACAAACGAACAAACAAGTAAACAAACAAGCACATATCCATTGACCTTGACCCGGTTTCTGTTTTCTAAACATGAGATTTATCTGTCTAGACATACAGTTTGGTTTACTGAAATGACGTAAACTAGATTAAAACCAATTTATTTTCGATACAACAGCTGATTAACTGCGACTGGCCGACACCTAGTTCAAGACATTGTGACATTAATAAATAGTAGACAAGTGAATGATGATTAGATGGAAAAAACTAGGACATACAATATACATACAGATAAACATATGTAACCAATATACGTTAACGAAAAGATAATACCACTTATGCTACTTATGGATTTGAGTAGTGTGATATTCTGTCGAGAAAGTTAATGTTCATCCATTTTATAGGCCAAATAACAGTTTCACATGTCATGAGTAAAACTTATCACCTTTCATACATATATACACATAATCAGACTGATCTCAATGAAGAGGTTGTGTATGGTGTCAAAATGTTGGCACAGATACGAAAATCTCTTTCGTTTTGTATTAACTTGTGCTACAGTTGAGTAACTGTCTACTCTCTGCTACTTTATAACCGTAAAACATGATATTTGCAATTAGTTAATCAATGAGTAGTGGCCAATAAGATATTTGTCTAGTCACTGAGTGCTGATCGAATTTTCATCATTCAGGTTGTAATGTGGTCTCTGGTCTAAATGACTCAATATCGTGTGCACCATGCTAAGATATAAGGTAGTTTTTTGAGGTAATCAACAGAAAACCCTATAATGACTTAGGTTTTGTGCTAGTTACTACTTTTCACCAAGATGTACTTGTTATCTTGAGAGAACTGACGCTCCCAATAGAATCATAACCTGAGTTACCAAGCTTCATAGTCAGACACGTTATCACCGATCTATTCAGACTGAGAATGATCTCCCTTTTTGACCAAAGATATCAAAGAGATTAGATGAAAGTATGAATTTAACATTTGCCAATACACTTATTGGAACCTATTTATCTATACATATTTCGAACACCCCCTAAACCTTAAAAATAATTTTTTTTAATGGTCTACATCAATTATTTAAAATCAGGAAGCGATCGATAGTTGTTCAATAGTGACTAATTTTGAGAGATAATTCATGGAGACTTAGCGAGAATCTATGATCCATGGAATTCAACCATATTAAATGTGAAGCAATTATCTAACGGTACCATTGAGATATGGTCTCGTGAATCGATTTTAGTTGGACATATAAACCACCTACAATTGACTGATCACTATGTGGTGATGAATGTCATGTACGTCAAGTAGTTCTGAGTGCAGATCGAATCCTATCGACCGAATTGCAATATGGCCAACAATCTAGGTAACTTGACATTGCGTGCACTATGTTGAGACAAGATAAGCTGTAACGACACTGGAATTGTTCATTGCTACACGAATCCACACTTAAACATGACATCTTACTTCTGTTACCAGGATTTTCAAATGTTGCTTCACAAGGGATAAATGTATCGTAAAAATTATTCAACATTTACATCTTTCTAAATTATCTACTCTTATGTAAATAAATATTTCTCTCCATTACATGTTACATTGATTATTGTATCAACCTGATAATACCTGGAAACTGGTATACATTTCAAATCAGTTATCAGAAAGCATTTGAGTTAGCTCACTGTTCATAATCTTGATGAAATTTCGATTAGTAGATCAGTGAGAAAATGAGTTGTGCGTTTGAAATGAAAGCTACTGAATCCAGGTCCCAATGGAATTGAAATCAACATTGTGATACAGGTATATCAATACAACTGACGAGTGACCAACTGGACTCAATTAGCTGCAATCCATCTATCCTATATGATAATTTCCAGGACAAACTTATTTATTTAGACTTGCAAGTACAGTACATCTGAGGGGAACGGTGTTGAAAATCAATCATAGGTAAGTGCGTTGCTAAACCTTAATGAAGTTGCGACAACGACAACTGTCTAATGACCCCCCTCGAGTGGTTCACACTTTGCATCAGTTTATGATCAAAATAAGTCGATAACCGTAATCGTATGTTAGTTAATTAGATGATATTTGTTACAAGGTGTATATTGGAACTTTTTGAAGGAACTAATACTTCATAATTGGTATTTAGGACTAGACAATTATAATGGTTTAGCAGAGTGAGATAGTGACTCAAGACGCGTGTATCATCCAACTTTAGGACTCATCGTTCGA